GCTTTATATACAAATGCTAGTAATTAGGGTTTATATAGGAAGACTAAAACCAATCAATTAGAAAATCCTAATCAAAGACAAATCAAGCATGAAAATCAATACACTTGCACACAAACACCCCTAGGATAAATCCACTTGGTTGCCTTACAAAATGGCCATATTATGCATGTGAGGTATCTTAGCAAAAACAAGCAAAATATAAGATTATAGCCCCTCGATGACGCTATCTATGTTGCCTTTCAAATGATCTTAGTCCCTAAAAGAGAATGCTAAGATACCTTGCAAACATTGCTAATCACGGTTATACGATGACCCATGCCCGCCCCGTTTACATCCAAAGATAGGGTTACTTATCAAATCAATGGTAAGATAACAATGTCAAAGGAAAAAGGAAATGAACATGAAAGACTTTTGAGTAGGTAGAATGCTCCTAATTACTTGCTCTATTTAAAAATAAAACATACTTGCTATTTTTAAAACAAACACCTACACTTTCAAAACATCTTATAAACTTGAAAACATTTTCAAAAGATCAACATCTTTGTATACATTCTTACGAACGAGAATCATTACAAAGTTTGCCTAAACAATGGCCTCTTTACAAAATACTTTCAAAAACCACACAAAACACAATTTCAAACAAAAGCAAGTGATCTAGAAAGTAACTAAGAGACCATGGAAAACCATGGATGAAAAGGGTGCTAATACCTTCCCTTTTCATAATTTACCCCCCGAACTCAAGAAATAATCTTAAAGGTCTTTCCTGTGCTTTTTCACCTTTCCTTTTGGATAAAATAAAAGTCGGTGGCGACTCTTGCTAACCGCAATATTTGAGATCAAACACAAAACACCCAAGTCAGTTCTCCCACCGTATTACAATATGTTATTAAAACCTATTTTGTATAGTTTAATAGGTAAATGGGCGTTAAATCTCACTAAATACTCATTAACTTATGCGCCATTAAAGGCCAGATCGTGGCAGATTTCATAGTTGACCATTCGTTGGCCGAAGTAACACAAAATCACGTTGGTAAGAGACCTTAGAAGTTGTATTTTGATGGTTCCAAACATAAATATGGAACAAGTATAATAATTCTCATAATATCCCCACAAGAGATTTTAACGAAGTTCAAGTTTAAAATAGAAGGCGCTTGTTCGAACAACGATTTTCTTTTGTGAACATTGTTTACATACCTCGACTTTAGAACCAGGAGGCTAACGACTTGGCCCAAATAGCATCGGGTTGAAAATTTACTAGAGAAGGGTTATAAAGAAGTATCGAGGTACAAGAGAAGCTCATTTTGACTAAGAAACGTTAACACTAACGTTAGCGACAATACTAGTGAGGGCAGGTACTCATGATTTTGAAAGTTTTCAAGTTTCCCATGTTGGTGGAATTTACACTGCAAAAATATTTAGGGCGCCCCATACTCTAGATCTAAAAAAATCTAGAGATACCCCATACTAGTGAAACTTGTACTTATGAAATTTTTGTCATTGCTGATGTGTTAGATAATGATTGGCGAAAACCTATTGTCAGATACTTAGAAAACCCAATGGGAATAATGGATCGAAAGATCAAATACATAGCCCTAAGCTATGTGATTTTGGGAAATGAGTTATTTAAGAAAAAAACTAAGGTATTCTTCTCAAATGTATTGGCGAAAACGAGGCATATTTACCAATTTCCGAAGTTCACAAGGGATCATGTGGTTCTCACCAGGAAAGCCATACGATGAAATGGTTACTGGTTTGAATTTGATTTTATTATCCAACTATGCTTAAAGATTTCATATACTTTTCCAAAGTGTGTGAAGAATACCAAAGACATTCAGTTGTCCAGCATGTACCTGTGAGCGAATTACACTCAATAGTTAAATTGTGGCCTTTCATAGGACGGGCTTTGGACATAATAGAGGAAATTAAACCTTTCATAGAATACATATTAATGAGGAATACAAACTTTGTAATAAAATAAAGAGGCTATAAACTTTAGCCTTAATGTTGAAATGCCATGGGGGGAAATATTTAAGAATTACTAAGTAAGTGTTCAAACATGTAAGAACAAGAAATGGGAAAGTAATTACAAGCTTTAAAAAGGTAAAAAAGGCTTTGAATTTGTCGTATTATGATTTAGAGACATCAAGTCGACGGTCGGTCAATGAGATGTTGGAGGTAAGACTCACAATCTCTTCATCCAAATCTTTAACCCTCTAAAATGATAAACTCTGACTGCAGCCTCTTCTTCGAGTGCTTCTCGATTGACGTTGCATAATTCATTTTGTCAATCTTCAACTTTTTTAACCTTTGCTTGCAATTTGCTATCTGTTGCTTCCACTTCAGAATGTCGGCAACACATGCCTCAAACTCTTTGTCACTTTGTTGAAAAGATTTCTCCATTTCTTCAACTTGGCTTATGGACTTAGTGGCTAGCTCCCATTCCTCTGACCGAGTTTTCTGTTTGGCACGCAATTTATTTGTTACTTTTTTCTTACGAACAATATCAGTAGTAATTTAGTCAAGCAAAAGCCCAAATTCCACCACAAAGCTAACAATGGTCGGAGAAGCATTGAGAAGATCAATATTATTAAGCAAGTTCTTAATCCCATAGGAATACACCATGTCATTCTCCATTGTTGGAATAAGTCTGGGCAAAAGAGTTTAAAAAACTTTATGCAATATGTTTTAGGATTCACTAGTCGATCCTGCAAGTAACTGTTTATAAGAGACTAGCGATTGTTTACCAAATTTCACTGTAAACACGTACAAAAACACAATTACTTTTGTATAAGCCGAGTAGATACTTTGTTAGTATACAAAGAAACATTAAACGACAACACTCATACATTATCTTCTTCATTGAAATGCTCACGCCGCCACGTGATTGTGTCGATCTCAACCAACAATATGACCTCAATACCATATACCATGTTGATTGTGTTCCTTAGTGGAAGAATGAGGTGTCATGCGATACGAAAACAAAACATTTTCAAAGGTTGTAGTTAAGTAAAATATCATATGGAATGTGGAAGAAATGTAAAACCAATTTAAGATAGATGAAACAAATGTACCTAGTGTAATTGCTCTGCCCAAAAACCCTTGGCTTCAACACAGGGGGCATGAATGAAAAAGGTTATCCTCCGACAAAATAAAGAAGCTAGAGTGCGCCTCGCGACTCTGAGGCACCACTAGGAAGTATAGATCTTTGAATTTTTTCTAACTATAAACATAAATATAAAACACTTTCTTCGACTGATGAATCAAGAGAAATCCTTACCTCTGATTCGCTCTAGCAGAAGTGTGTGTTACACTAAAAAAATGACCATTCTTGGGGATCGCCAACCACGATTCCAACAACAGTTATGGCAACCTCAGAGTTCATAATAGATGGAGTGCTCGCTACTATAACATCCACCTAATCATATTCATCTGCGTTTGAATGGTCTCGAAGATCCAAATAGGCCGCTACATCAGCATCGTTGGACTCACAATTATCAATCTTTAAGAGAAATTAAATGTAATCCTTAATGTTTTCTCTCCTCTGCCGACTGGATTGTATCTTCTTCTCAGTTAAGATGGGAGGGGCATAGGGACTTCAGTGCAATTCATTTTCGAAGGTTGATAAAAGGGCTTCCAGTGAGTCAGACGAAAAAGCCCTTTCGTCCATGTAGTTTCTAAACACCCTTTCTGAATTAGAATCATCATATAAGGATATGATTTCTGGTTCTAGGTGATTATGATCAAAAGGAGGGATGTGTGAATTAGGGGATATCCCTATTCTCGAAGAAGGATAAATATCACTCTCAGAATCACTCACTAGGTGTACCTTATTATCACTCATCCTAACTAAAATGTAGGAAATACTGAAGAAAAAACTTGAGTTCAAGGAGGTATTTGAGGTATGAGATTGATGAAGCAGAATAAATGAAGGAAGTAGAGATTTTGATTGAAAAGCTGCAAATACTCCGATTAGTGCTCTTAGAGGAGTAAAAGCGAAGACGTTTACTAAAGCAGTAAATATAAAAGAACTTAAAAGACAAGGATCACAATAGGTTTCCAAAACATTCAATTTTCCCTATTTATAGGTAGTTGCAGCTGAAGGATTCATATCAATGAGATAAAGAAATCACAAGATCAACTACTAAATTTCCCTCGTGGATACACACCAACTCAAGTGCATATCACGCGTCATGTGCTAACTAGTCACACATGCACATGTTAGAAGAAGGCGATGCGACATTTCAATGATGAGACTGCATTTAATGCATTTTTTCTCCACTATTTTTTCAACCGACTCTAGGCATTTCAGTTATATTTTACCTCAGACCACATCTTAGAGCCCGACCAACATCACTTAAGACTTCCCCTGACTCTGTCAATGTCCGACGAAGTCTTGAGGGCAACCGTTCTGGATCGGCCAAAAGTCAAATTTATCTCAAATTCACTCCACTTGACCCAAGATATTAAATCAGTTCACACATCAAAAATAAAGTACATTCTCATATCTTCATTTTCACTACACTCATCTTGAGTCTTAAACTGACTTGAACGTTGTAATTCTAACTATGTTGATTCATCCCTCGCCATCGTAAACGAGATCAGAGTCACCGTTTAAGATCATTCGTTTCTTCTTTTCAAATGGAACAATATTATTATCAAAATTATATTTTAAATTTAAAAGCAACCAATTGTAACTTAAAATTAAAATCAATTTTGAAAGTAAAATGTGCTTAGTAGAAACAACCAAACGTGTATACAAACTTAACCTAAAACAAATGCAGCGCACCCCGTTGCATCCACATTTTACGACCACAAATAATCTCGTGCAACACGAGTATTATATCAAGTTTTAGTTTTAAAACCACATATAAAACAGTGTTTCTTTAGTTTAATCATCCATAATCCATTTCCTCAAAAAGCAAAACTCATCAATAATTCACCGTTCACCCAAATTCTCTGAAATCTCCGATCACCGGAGCTCTGATCTCGACCCCCACACAATGACGCCGCCGATCCCATCGCCGCTAAAAGCCATAACCCTAACCCACATCCGTTACGAACGCGGCGACAAACTAGGTCATTTCCTCGCCTGGATATCCCTCGTCCCCGTCTTCATCAGCTTCGGCGGTTTCATCTCCCACTTCATCTTCCGCCGCGAACTTCAAGGCATCTTCTTCTTCCTCGGCTTAATCGTTTCACAGTTCATCAACGAGTTCATCAAAACCACGGTCCAACAAGCTCGCCCCGAAACATGCGTGCTTCTCGAAACATGCGATTCTCACGGTTGGCCTTCGAGTCATTGCCAGTACATGTTCTTCTTTGCAACTTACCTAACTCTATTGGGGTGTAAAGGAATTGGGTTCTCGAAGAATATTGGGCTTAATCTACTTACTTGGGGTCTGGCTTTTTTGACTATGTATTCTAGGGTTTATTTGGGGTATCATACTGTTGCTCAGGTTTTTGCTGGGACTGCTTTGGGCCTTTTTCTTGGTGCGGCTTGGTTTTGGATTGTGAACAAGCTTTTGTTTCCGTTTTATCCTGTTATTGAAGAAAGTGCTTTTGGGAGGTGGTTTTATGTTAAGGATACTTCTCACATTCCTAATGTGTTCAAGTTTGAGTATGATCAAGCTAGAGCTTTTAGAAAAAAGATCGCCTCTGAAAGGGAATCCGAATCCAAGTCTGATTAATTAATGGGTATGTTAATTGGAATCATTTCCATTTTTCACATGCTTCTTGTCTTCAATTTTGTGCTTTGTTGTTGTTGTTGTTGTTTGTAATGCAAGTTAATAGGATTAGGGATATTCTAGACTTGGATTTACAAATGCTATGATGGCTTAAGTGTTTTTTAGAGGTTTTTTTATTTATTTTTATGATGTTAATTTGGTGAAGAAATGAAAAATGGATCGTTATGATTCTAGAAAAAGATGACTCATTTAGTTCTATAAGGATCCGTGACTAGGCATTTGAATTAATCAGACTTCTTGAATGTTGTTGTGAGGTGGCAAGGAATCTAGTCTGTTAGATGATTTGTTAGAATTGTAGTCGTTATTCTTAATTCGGTTATATAGCATTGAGAGGAGGATGTTCTCTGAATGGCTATGTAAACCTGTATTTCCCTTTGCAAGAGTATTAATGAATGAAGAAATCAGTCATGTTACCTCTCTTATTGTATTCTTAAGAGGTTTCTTTGCCTCGAAGCAGAGTTTATCTTGTTTCCCATTTTCCTGGTCCTTATGTTAATGGTCGTCATTCTGATTAGTTTGTACTGACATGACATGATTCATTAATCTTGTAAACACTTTACATTTTAATTGGAGGTAGTTTTAATTTTGTGAAATACTGGCATGGTAGAGGAAGCGATTCCCACTTTGATTTTATTTTTTACATTTGCTAAGGGATTTTTCCAGGTATAAAAAACTGCCATGTCCTGCGTTATTCAAGTGTAATGTGATCTGTTAACTTAGTAAACCAAATTTTAACATATCAGAGTAAAGCCAAGAAATTTTATAAACTGAAGCTCTAGGTTATTTGGTTACAAATTAGAATCCTACTTCCAATTTGATTTTGTGATGCTGACATCATAATTTTTAATGCGCTCCTTTGTCAAAAACTAACTCGAGTTATGGAATTTACTGAGCATGTTTCTAATTTATATTTATGATATTGAGTTTTCCGGACCCCCCCAGAGCCCATAAAATGGGAGCCTCGTGCACCGGGTTACCCCTTATATTGAGTTTTCCAAATACTTGTTAAAGCACTGGATAAATTGCATGGTAGAAAATAAGAATGTCATGTGGTGGCTTGGTTCTCACTTCTCAATAATATATTCTGACACTTTATTATCCATTCTTATCGTCCTCTTTTTGAGTATTTGCCCAACTAGTTGAAGTCAGCAGGTTGTCATCACATCTATGACACTATGATAGGTTGTTCATCAGACTGAAACACCTAACAGAGAGAGCAGGGCATAAAGTTTCTGGGTTTGGAGTTCTGCTAGTGATATGTAATTGTTTCTTAGATTAGGATAGTATTCAATTGGAGAAAAGGAGGTAGGGGTAAATCTAGGCTGTTCAGATGATAGTAGTTAGTTACTAGCTGGTCTTAGTTCAATGTTGAATTGTTCCTTTCCATGTGGTCATGTAAAAAACTTTTTGTGCTATCACGCACTCTGAAGACCACATTCAATTCTTGAGCTTAAAGAACATGTGCAGTGTGCTTACATACTTGTGCTAATAAGGATGCCTGATTTATTTTCATTATGGTATGTTGTTATTTTGAGTCAACTTTCTTTCTTTTCTAAAGAAAACTAAATGCCAATCTACTCACAAACAGTATATCTATATTACTTGGTCTTCCGTTAACGTTTTTAGCTCAAGTTTTGTCCTGCATACATAGTCCAGTCACATGATTTTGAAATATACATGAGATATTTTATGTTTATGACTTTATTTTTTGAATTTCAAAAGAACAATATGAGTTTTGTTTTGATACATTTTGATATCTTTTGAATCAAGAATGAAAATGGTAACTTTAAATTAAACGTTTAAGCGGCCATTAACTCCATATATCCTTTTTTTTTTAATAAAACTTAAATTGTTGAATTGATACACGTGTTAAAGTGTGATGTCTGCAATGACCATTTTATTTCTGAACATGAAAGTATAATTAGTAAGATGTATTTGAGACCCTCTTTGAGTAAGGAGTGCTTAGTTAGGAAAAAGTGTATTAATCAGAATGTGTGAACTATTTCTGGTGTGCTCCATGATCGTTTGGAGTAAATGTAGCAATGCATGTTCAAATACCGGTATGCGAGCCGAGGATCAATTAAGATGGCCTTGATAGTGATGTCATGCAGCTAGGCCCTTCTATTTTGTATACGGATCATTGATCATGGCAGAGGATTGGTTTAAATGGTGGAACAAAATAGCTTAATGAATTAAACTTTTAAGGGTAACTAAATACATTTCAGAAACAAACATAGAAAATTTGTGTCTTGTCCTATAAGATTGTTTCACACTTTGCCAAACTATATAGAGTTTATGTCTTGTATCTCGTGTCTTTTAAATTCAAGAGTCTCTGAGAGAGTTTATATCTTATGCAGAAGGCAGAAAGATTTAAAGTAAACTATAATACTATAATCTTTACAAATGATTTGGTATGGTTTGTTTTAACTGATTGTGCTCTTTTTCTTCAATTTTCCAGGTAGATTTCTTCGAGTTTCTTTCAGGATTTGTTTTCCAGGTACTTATGACAGCACTATTAATATATTTCTTATCCGGAGGGTTCTGCCATAGAAGCCAGCTTGCTTAGGTTACAAATGGCATCCGTGAAGAGAACAGCTAAACACACAGTGATATTTTAGGCTTGTAATGATGCCTATGAAATTGAAACTGAAATGATATAACAGCAGAATGTTATTACGTGCTATAGATTACATATAGACATTTGATATTTTTTCTTGTTTTCTATTTGGGCTGATATGAAGATAATTCAAATACAAAGTACAAACAACTAAGGGAATACATTCCCCCAGCTGCATGCTTTTTATAAAATTATAGCTACATATTAAATTATGAAGTTGATACACTGGATCTCGTGTTATTGATGCTTATATAAGATATATATATTTTTAATTATGTCCTGATTTAAAATCATTTATATATATATATATATATATATATATATATATATATATATATATATATATATATATATATATATATATATATATATATATATATATATATATATATATATATATATAAATGATTTTAAAATTCGAAAGGTAATTTGGAAAATTCAAGAGGACGTGAGAAATTTGGAGGCTAAGAGAAATTTACATGGAAATTTGCAGATGTAAAGTGAAGAATGGTGCTAAGTAAGCTAGTGAAACAGCTTCATCCAACTAATTCTAAGAAAATTAAAAGTTTTATTTATTTTTGCATAAATTAAAAAATGCAATTAATATCTTAGATTCTTTTCTCCACGAAAAGTATTATCAGATTTTATAAGAATATTATATACTTATTTAGGAAGGAATTCCTAGTTGTACCCTTTATCACTATAGGACAACGGAAATCGATCCCCGTCATTCTCATGAAACAATCCCATAGAATAATTATCTTTCCCCTCACATTTTAGTTTTTTACAATTGTTAGAGTAGGGGGAAGAGAGAACTGTACTAGGTAAGGAGTCCAAAGTGACCTAACTGCCCTTAATAGTTGTCTTGTTGTCATAGTAGGAAATTAGTTAAATACTCGTGCATCCCTGCACAAAGTAATATTTGAAAGAGTAATGTATTGGAAATAATGTATAGGTATGACAACAAAATTTGTACTCGCGGGTATTCATCCGAATTCGCCCGAAGTGGACAGAAAAAATGTGTTTTGATCGGGTTCGGGTTCAGGTTTGGATTTTTTTCGATTATAAAATATGGGGACGAGTTGGGTAATGAAGACACTAGTACCCATTTCAAACTCGCTTCTGAACCCGTTCCGTTTATTTATTATGTACATTATCATTTATTTTTGATAATTTAGAATATTAAATATGTGCTCAATGTTTTGATAATTTGATTTGTATTTATTATTTGAAATTTATGTATGAACTTTTTTGAGATTGTTTTATTTTATTATTTATAATGTAATTTGATTTAGGAAAAAATAAATATTTCTATTAAAAAAAGATTTTACTAAATGGATGGTGGCGGGGTGGGATACCCGAATCCAACCCGAACTCGTTTAGGACGAGTTTGAGTTTTAATTCTTCATCTCTGTTTGGGTTTGGGGCGGGTAATGAAGATTGTTTGGGGATTCAGGTTTGGATTTGGGGAGGTAAAAATCGTCTCCGACCTGCCCCGTTGCCATGTCTAGTAGTGTAGAGAATAAAAGATAAATGACACAATTGAAAAAATAATAGTCTCTCGTCTCATAATAAGTGTTTCATTTGTACTTTTTTTATGTCTTAAAATAAATATCTCTTTAAAATACCAATACAATATTTATTATTATTTTTCATTACTATACCCTTATTTATTAGCTTTCACGATTTTCAACTACTCTATTAACTATAATAAATAATAGTGTTTTTAATAAATTATACTTATTTTATTATTAAAATTAACACATATAATTATTTTTTTAAGAACTGCATAAAATTCAAATAAAATACTTATTATAAGATAGAGCGAATAAATATTACTATATTAAAAAGTAAAAATAACAATCATTTCAAAACAAAATTTCTTTATTAAAACGATACTCATTAAAAATAGAATATTCTATTATATTTTAGATATATTAAAAAATATTCTATATACAAATATTAACACTCCTCTCAAACTATAAATTAAGTGCTCCAAATTTGTCACAATATTTATAATCATAACATAACACAATTGAAACACAAAAGGAACTATCTCATTATTCATTATCTACCTTCAGAATTAAAAGCTAAAAAGCAGCAAGTAGCATTGTTACATGAAAAAGGTGCATCTCTAGATAAGCTGAAATAGGGTAATCCAAACATGGTCTAAGTAACTAAACTGAGTGAGGCTAGTAGCATTATAAATATTTGCTAATCATTACATGAAAAATCAGAGATAGTTACATGAAAAATTAACATTGTTACATGTGCGTTCTTATATATACATATATTAATCTCTCATTTTTTATATTCGATAATTCTT